GAATGCCAGATACTTTTATCGCTTTTTTCTTTCTGGATATTCATGTAGTTGGCGAAATAATACGACGATAAGAGAGAGGGCTTCACCATAGAAATCGACTAATTATGCATAAATTTGACACCCGAGGGACACCAACATGGCGGATACTAACTTCAGCAAAGCTTGTGACGTCACCTGAAACCCAAGAATAGGGGAGTACTATAAACAAACTATAGGAATGACGATTTTCATTGAAGTGGAGTATGTTTTTTTTTTTTCTATTTAAAATCTGTTGGTTTTTTCAATTTACTTCGGCGTCACATCCTTACGTGAGTTTGTCAGAAGATCTGTCCTGGATTATTATTAAGATTATTATTTTTTGTTTCGGTTTCAGATCACTCCACACGGTCTCCAGATGGGCATCGTCCTCTGTCTTCAACTGGCGCTGTTTGCATCACACCTGACTCTCTTCACAATGGCAAAGATAGATGTAAATCGGCAAAATTTTAACTTTGTTATCGATGAAGATGTCGTTTATAATCACATTCTCGAGGGTCACGTGTTACAAAGATTGACAGTTTCTAGGGCCCACCAGTGTCACGAGAAGTGCAAAGATGACTGCTTGTGTGTATCCATGAACTCTTTCCCTCAGTCCAAAGAAAGTAATTGTGAGCTTAACGATGCTAACAAATACACGGAGCCAGCGGCAATGAAGTGGAGGGATGGAGAAAATTGTTATGATTTGGTGAGAAGCTACACAGTGGAGGTGAGAAAAAACTGTTTATCTATACACATTTCGGTGCGATGATTGCCAAGTAACAGCTCAGACATTTATATAATTTACCCTTTGACTTGTTCCTCCTTCACTCAATTATTTCTTGGGTATGTGCGTTGACTAAATTCAGTAAGCCTTATGATAATTAAAAATTATTCGCCGAAGGCGAGGTGAATATCGTCGAATAATCTCCGAGACTTCGTTTCGGGGATTATTCGACAATGTTCAGCGAACCTGAGGTGAAAAATTGTTTTAGTATAATTTCAGAGCAGAACAACAGAGAAATTTCTAAAATCATAACATTTTAGTAACATTTATTAACATTTTATTTTAATATTTTATATAAACCGCGTGGAGCGATTTATATATATAAATTCAGATTGCTGGAAACTCTTTCCTCAGCTCTAAAATTATACTAATGATAAATAACAATGATTAGAACTATTTTATACAGCGCAAAATGCATAACCCTTCAAGAATAATGAAACTTGACGTTAATGATGACAGCTAACTAAAATTTAATTTAATTTAATTTAGTCCATTTTCACTGCATTAAGTTTTGCAGTGGGGAAGGACTAGAGAGGAACATGGGAACCATTCGTGCTAAATTGACATAAAGTTACAAAATAGCTAAATATTGATAAAACCTAATAATTCTCTTAAGAGGGTAAAAAACGCTACATTGCTATAAGAAACAAACTTAAAGGTTGACTGAAGAAATAAGTTTTGAGGTTACGCTTCAAACTAGATATGGGGTAAACATTAGTGCTTTAAAAGCATAAAAAAAACATAAACTGATGAAATATTAAATATTGCTTTAGGGTGGAGACAGATACATCCCGGGAAAGCACCGCTGCATCAATAGATGCTGCAGTCCCAATCCTTGTCTCAACGGGGGAGTATGTCAGGAGATTTGTGTCACTCACAGCGTCCGGTTTTCCTGTGGCTGTCCTAACAAATATACTGGTCAGCGGTGTGAAAAGATTAAACCGAATAGTTGTTGGGACATCGCAAAATACGGTGCTTCGACTTCAGGAAAGTAGGAGATCTTTGATTCAAACAATGAACCGTTTTCTGTTTACTGTGACTTGAAGTCCGAACCAAGCTTTGTATGGACAATGATACAATCGTTTTCCTTGGCTGAAAGAAAGACCTTCATGTATAAAAGTTTAAGGAAAAACTTTGAGTTTGCTACTGAAAAGGGGAGAGGGAATTGGAACAGGTACCGACTATCCTTATTACAAATGCAGTCTCTTGCTGATCATTCTACACATCTGAGAGCAACTTGTAACTTTCCTACAGATGGTCTGCAATATGTAGACTACGCACGTGCAAAGCTGGCAGGTCACGACATTTTTGGTGACTGGAACAGATGTCAGATGTATGAATATGTTAACATCCGAGGAAACAATTGTTCTAATTGTACCGCCCTGACAAGACAGAAGGCGGTAAAGGCACATTTGCACATAAAGGGTCACAAAAGCAAAGAAGAAGGATGTGCATTTGATGGAAAAGCAGGTGGAATCAAGAACGAAAACAGTTTCGGACAGTATGTTGATAACCAAACGAATCCAAATCACCGTTGCTCGTCATCAGATACTTCTACAACGCAGCATTGGTTTGGAGCTAAATATGATGTATAAATTTCTATGGATTTATTTCCTTCTCCGGAAAAGGGAAACCGGACAGCCTATGTAAGAAACCATTGAAGCAAGGCTATGAACCAACTGTGACGTCATGGAACTTCAAGTGAGTTGCACCTTTGGTGTGGAACTTGAACTGAATGTTTAAATCTTTCAGATATTAACACTGACTCTTTATCGCTGAGGAATGTAAACGTACACGAGAGCTACGTTATATGCAACTTACGACATGTTTTTTCCAAGTTATCAACGTTGAATTTTGTGTCTTAAGGCGGTCTCTCTGTGAGCACTTTAATTTTTAGCCGATATCAGGGGGAAAAGCTATGTGCCATAAATTTTAAAGTTTTAAAATGTAAGCGTGAAAGATGTTCTCGTCTCAGATATTGTTGTGATTACAAACAACCCAGTTAATCTACCCTCCCCTCTCCTCCCCCCCCTAAAAAGAAAGAAAATGGATGTGAGGCCGCTCAATGTGTGATGGGCGTGTCAGTAGATTTGTGACACTCACAGATTTACCAGAACCTTTCCTGAAAAGTGAAATAGTCAGAAGTTTAAAGACATTTAAAAACGGCATGCTTGCCTTTGTTTAGCTACACTGTCCAAGTCATTCAACCATTTTCTCATTGCTGATAATTGAAAATTAATTTCGTCTTAGTCAGTTTAAATATTAATAATTCAAGCCCTCAGTTTTGTTTTATTGGTTTCCCTGTAATTAATCAGCTCAATGACGCAAAAGGTTTTGAGATCTCTTTATTTTCAAAACGTGATCGTCGTAATTTACATTTACTAAGTGGCAGCAAGATCTTGAGATCTCTCCTAAGTGGTAAATATGTATAAAATAAAGCTTTGTTTATTGTCTATGCGCGAGGGAATCGATTTATAACCGCAAGAAGACCTCAGCAGCCATTGTTTCTAGTGGAATAAGGTATTTAATTGCTTTGGTAGAGTCATTGCATACTTTTTTGCTCGGGACTTTCAAAATCATTCTTAAATGTCACGACTAGTTACATGATTTCTGTAGTCAATAGCAAGCATTGCCGCAATGAACATCGACTATTATCACAATATTTTGATAAGTAAGGCATAGTGTGGTCATGGTGCGGTCATCAGAATCAGTAAGGT